TGTCTGATGGGTTTGAAAGTGGGATCGACGTTGAGCTCGTGAGAGGTAATTTTCGGATCGATTCCTTTCATGTCTGAGGTGTTCCACGCAAAAGTTGACACATTTTCTTTGAGGAAGGCAAGGATCGTTTGCTGCATCTCGTCAGTGATGTATGCTCCTATTCATACGATCTTTCTGGGATCCTCCTCGTCAATTTTCACCTCGAGGACCTCGTCCTTCTGAGGGTATATCTTTTGGATAGGCTTCGCAACGGCGTTGACCCGAGGGGGCGACTGCTGGAGCTTAACGTTAACGATCAAGAGATCGTGCGCAGCTTGTTGATCACCTCGTAATGTCTTGATCCGTCCGTCATTTCCGGGAAACTTGACACATTGATGGTACGTTGAGGAAATGGCTTTCATTGAGTGGAGCCACGGAGTGCCAAGTATAACATGGTAGGGTGCGTCGGTCGCGATGACGGAGAACTTGACCATGTGGTTAACCCCGCCAGCATAGACTGGGAGTCTGATGGTCCCGATCGTTTCTTCCGAGACTCCGTTCAACCCGGTCAAGGAATGGTTAGACGGTTTCATGAGGTGCAGGTCGGCTCCCATCTTCTCGAGGGTTTTGTGGAAGATGAGATCGACCGAACTGGCAGTATCGATCAGTACCTTGGTCACTTCACAGTCTCCAATGCCCAACTCGACAAGGAGGGGATCATTGTGCGGCATATGGACTCCGAGTGCGTCCTCTGCCGAGAACATAATCGGGAGGTCGATCTTTGGTACGGATGGCCATTTCTGTGAAGTCTTTGCCTGTCGCTGATGGTCTTTGATGGATCGAACCGAGTCGCCGCATGGGGGTGAGCCCCCCCATGATAACGTTCGTTCGTTTTCCTCGAAGTTGGGAACGCAGGTCGTAATTTGATTGTGCGACTCCCGTTAGCTCTTACCCCGTATGGTTGCCTTGTTCACGTTGAGCTGTTGTTGCAGATCCTGGATTTTTGGTTTCCGGAGCTTGAAGCGGAGGTCGGCGACCTTTGAGTTTAGGTGAGTTCGCAACTTGGCTTCGTCTGGGGGAGGGTCGTGTATGTTCGGGTCGCCTGTGACTTCGACTCGTTTGAGCGCCAGGATGGCGACAATGTCTTCAGCGATGGCGGGTTTCGACGGTGTCGTCTCGGTCATAGCGGTTCTTCGCTTCAGTCAGCGTCGCAAGTCAGAGGAGCTCGAGCTATCCCGTTTGGAAGACCGCTTGTCGAGATACGTACGCAGGTTTTCTTGAGTGAGCTCGGACTCGCTGTCCATTGGCAAGCTCGGGCGCGCGAGGAAGACTTCGACCCGTCGCCGGTTTCTCGGCTGTTCATCCTCGGCGGATGAGTCTTCTTTCTCTTGCGCTTTGGGAGCTGTTTCCTCGGCATCCGTCTTTTTCTCGGCTCGTGGAGCCTTGGCTTGAGCCTTGCGACCCTTCTTGTCTTTGTTTTTGCTCCAGCTGTTCTCCTTCAGTTTGGTCTTAGGTGGTTCGAATTCAAATTTTCTGCTGGTGACCAAAGAGAGGAAATGCTCGTATAGGAATTTGCATTCCTTTGTGTCGTGCTTCTTAGTTTTGTGATAGGAGCAGTACTTCTTCGGCTCTTCAGGTTTTGACCCTGATGCTTCGGATGCGCCTGGTGTCTTTTGCTCGTCATCCGTCCTGTCCCAGTGGTTCCATATTTTTGCTCGGACTACGACCGTTGAGCCCGGGAGGTTGTCCTCGTCAACCATGTAGACGAAGCTTTTCTTGGGGTTTGCTTTGTCGCTTGGGGCGTGATGTCGTGGCTCTGAACGGGTGTCGCTACTCTTAGATGACGCTTGCTTAGTTGCGTTCTGCTTGCTAATTATTGCTTTGGTATCTTCTTCCATACGAATGAAGTTGTTAGACCGAGCGATGGCGTCAGAGAGGGATTTGGTCGGGTGGCGATAGAGGTCGTCTCGGAACTTGGAATGCACATACAGTGTGTTCATGAGGGCGTCGATAGCAATGCTGTCCGGGACTTTAACTTTGGACACAATGCCCTTAAATTTTTCCATGAAGCTGCGAAGGCTTTGCCCTTGTGCTTGGGAGAGGTTCCAGAGGTTGGATGCGGTAGCTTCCTCGCGCGTGAACATTATATAGTTCTTTAAGAAAACGGAGGACATGTCATGGAAACTGTCAACAGAGTTTTCCGGCAGGCCGGTAAACCACCTGAGGGCCACGCCGGTTAGACTCTCGACGAAAAGTTGGCAGTAACCAGCGTCCAGTTCTTCGTTGGAAAATTTATGTCGCCTCCTCGCGATGTTGAAGGACGTGATGTGGACCGTTGGATCCGAGAGGCCGTCGTAAGTCGGAAAGCGGATCTTATCCATCTTGCGGAGTCTCACGTTGGTTATTCTGCTAGTGAACGGAGTCCGTAGGGTGTCTGCGAGGACGCTTTTGATGAGCGGGGTGGAGGTCGTGACTCTGTGAATTTTCGAGTTTATATCGAGAAGAGCTTGCTTGAGTTCGGCAATTTTTTGGATAGTCTGCAGATCTGGACTGTTTCCCGGTTGGGCGGTGTCGTCTAGGGATCCGGTCGGCATGATGGGCTGGTTAGCCGGAGTAGGGGTAGGGTTTGTGTTGAAGAGTAATCACCGGGCCGTCAAAAGGTGTCCTCCGGCACTGTCTGGTTTTGCGATGATGGTGGTGATAGCCGCGAGGTGTTCGTTTGTTGTCTTCTGGGCTTCGTCTTGGCGAGCGAGGCGCTCCATGACGGAGTCGACGAAGGTCGGAGCAAGTGGTATGGCGGCGCCTGAGGTCGGTGCTATAGCATCTCCCTCGTCGCCGGAGGTTGAATCGTTACTCTGACTCATCCTTGTGTTGACGTTACTTTGTTATGCCCCACGGTGGGCACCAACTGTTCAAACCGAGTTTGGTCTTTTCAGTAAGTGAGTTACTGGACTCGCTGTGGGTTATTTCAAAGGCATTATTACTATTTATGAGTGGAAGAGTTGTTTTATTTATGAATGAGTTCGGTTACAAATGAGGAAAGGAGTCTCTCGGAGAGCTCAGTCGTGCCGTACAAGTCGGAAAGAAAGTACAAGAGTGAAAACCCTAATTTTAGCCGCCTTGTGGGTAAAAGTGATCTTGGATCCTTTCCTTGTTGTACTCTCTCCTCCTTTTGTAGCACCCTTCGCTTGACCTAGTGAGCTGGTCGCTTGTGTGGGAAGACTTTCACAAAACGGGCCATGGTCAGCCCGTTAAGGTAAGTGTCCCTCCTAAGCGTCGTTAACCCGGCTAATCACGGGATTATCCGAGGTAAGCTTAATTAGTCACTAACCGATGATGTATTAGCACGTTGGACCGGAGCTCGTGTGCGCCAAGCCTGTTATTCAGTAGGCCTTATAAAGGGGGAATATTCCACCACCTACAACAAGCATACACACTCTTTTGACTCCTCGTTTGTTGCTCTTGTATAGAGAGAAGAGAGAATAATTTAGCTGTCTACATTGTTTCTTTTCTTCAAATATTTTTCTTATTAGACTTGGATACCTTTTTCTTAAAACACACACATTTAGTAGATTTTTCTACTTAATACACTTACACAATTTCTTCTTCTTCTGTTTCTTGTGCTTCACGCTTCATACGTCTCACACATCTTCTTCTTCATCCATTCCTTTGTAGCTTCTTCTAAGCTATTTCTCTTTGATCTTCTTCTCTTGGAGGATTTAATCGAGGTTCAATCTCAACACCCTCTCCATCAACTATAGGAATAAAGCTTAAGTCTCATCTCTCTCAATTTTCCCAATTATTCTGATTTAAATCAGTCTCTCATATCTCTCACATCTCTCAGATTCCCTTTGATTTTTCTACTATCGTGATGTAGAGAACTTCATGTAAGCTTTCATTATGTATCAGTTTCCAGATCCAAATGAAATAATACTAAGATTGAGAATTAAAGGCCAAAATATCACCAGAGAGACAGTGATGTGAATGATTTTGCCGGCGGCAATAAACATTGAAGAGTGCTTCTTCTTTTTTTGTGAGCGACACATAGACAAAAGCTTAGTAATTCAAAAATTTGATGGGTTTTCGATCTAATATTGGTTTAAGTTGGTTTACGGTCCGTACTATATTGGATCAAGTATTTAGTTTGAACCATTTTATGATTTTATTTACGTGTTTCTTAGTTGGGTCTCTTAGAGCACATTTATCGAAAATGCTAAGGGAGTGCTTAGGGGAGGGGGAACCACAAACAGAACAAAAGTCGACGCCTGAAACTGCAGAATAGGTGTATTTTTGGTTTGTTGCTTGACATGTTCAGCAGACTCCACGACACGTGGCGACCCGCGATTGGTCATTTTTTCTTTTTTTTTTAAATCCAAAAAAAAAATTAGACACCCCCTAATGGGATGCTGGGATAATCCTACTCTTAGTATAATAAAAAATGTGATTTCTTTAATTTTTAACTAAAAAAACTAAAAGACGTATCTTATATTATTTCAACATGTTCTATTGGTTTTCAATGGGTTATTTAGAAAGCAAGATTTGGGGAGGGGGGGGAGTATACATGGGATGCTATATCTATATGCAGTGTTTTTCAAATCATAACTTTTCAACTATGCGATGCCCAGCCACAAACGTTTACTTCCATTTTCTTACAAATTTATGATACTTGGGAAACGCTAGAGCATTCTGATTCAACAAAATAAATCGCCTGACAAAACCACAACACAACAGCGACGCTTGCAAATATATATTTCTTTAATATTTCTTGCCAAGAACTGTTCGTTAAAACTGAATACAGATGGTAAAAGCTTGTGAAATAACTTGTTTGCTTGCTCTCCAGGAAAAGTGACTATTATTAGTTTGGTTAAGAACTTACCATAGGCTTCACAATGGCAAAGAGGAATGACGGTGTATGCCGTCACCAACTAGTTCAAGGCACTGCGATGAACAACGTCAATGTTCGACTTGTTAGAATTTTGCAAGTGAACAAAAAGTAGATGACGGATTTGAAAACATCAGGCTTACTTGTAGATGTAGGAGATGATTCCAAGGACAACACATAGAAGAATAATGTCGATGCAAAAGTTGCGACTCGATCTCATCTGAAATTCCGTACCAATTTTTAGCAAATAGTTTCTTATGTTTCAACGACTATAACACTTATTATGATTATTAAAATTTTAAGAACTGGATTCTTGGTTAGTTTTCTTTGGTTTACCTTTACAAGCTGTTGCTTGAGCCGAACATTGGTGTTCTTCAGATCCGAAGTTGCTCCATCAACCTAAGCCAACCATGCATAAATTACATGATGTCGAGCTAGCATTTTCTTCAACTGACTAATGAGGAGAAACAAATCATTGATATAAAAACGAATCTCACCTTTGTTTCCATCTCATCCATCAATGGGACTTGCTTGTCAAGTTCCTGAAATCAAAAATGTAATTCTCCACAGGATAGAAAAAAAACTATTATTATTTGTCCATGAGAAAACAACAAACCTCGTTCATGTCACGGGCTAAGTTCTTCAGTGCATCCAAACCTTCTGATATAACATCAAGGCCCTCGTCCTGAAGAAAAATCATACGTTAAATCTTAAATCTCATTGTCAAAATAAATAACGAGATAGATGAAATTCACATGCCTGCTTCTTTCTTCTCATCTCATATTCTTGTCGAAACTGGTTGGATTCTTCAGTTTGCTGGAAGAACCCATCATCCATGTCTTCCTCTGATGGTTAACAAGAAAAAAAAAATCTTCTTCATATTTTATTATTCACAGAATCTTGAGTTAAGGAGAAAACAGGAAAGCCCAAGTACCAGATATATCAAACTTGATGTTCTTGTTGGGGGCAGAAGCACCTCCCCATTCATTATTGGTTTGTCTTTCATGTCCGTCAGGTATCACTTGAATCCTATCGGCTAGCGCGATAACTAGATCACATCGAGACTCTCGCTCCTCTTTTGTAAGCCCTTTGACCTGTATATACAATCCAAAGTTTGAACACAACCTATAAGTAATTATGTTTTAAGTCAAAAAAAATATAACTAATTATGTTTTAACCTTTTTAACAGCGAGTTTCTGTAGTTTGACAACATCTTCAGCCAAACGTGCTTTTGTCCTTCGAACCTCAGCATTCAAGGCCACAGCTGCAGCTCTATTGGTCTCTGTAGATGCCAACTCCGCTTTCTACATACAAATATAAAACTCAATGACGTTACTGATTAATTAAGAAGAATGTAGGGTTTCAAAAGAGATAGACGAACATGTACAACCGATTCAATATCGGTATCAATGGAGTTGAAGAGGCGGGAGAAAGCGTCGTCTCCGGATGCACCGAGCTCGCGCTGCTTGTCGACGTCGTACTTGTCGTACTTTTTGCATATCTCTTCGACTCTGAAGATAATGTTTAAGACCGTCATCTCTCCGTTCTTCTATGATCTCTCTGATTATTTTTCTTGTTGTTTGTCACCCTCTCAACCTCTTGGTTCACCATTTTCGTACCCTATTCGCACTATAGAAACGAGACGTGGAGCGTAAACGTCGGCTTCGAATTTTTAATAGTTGGAATTGAATTCTGTTTTTTATTTAAACAGTTTTTCTAGTTTAAAAAATCTAAATATAGCAAACCCTAATTATAGAGTTGATATATACGTGATGAATTCACTGTATGTAAATTACTTTGGGCCATCTATGTGAATTTCTGACTGTCGGATTGGCTTGGTAGATGATTTTATTAATTATTTTGGATGTACTTGTAAGTTTTTGGTGTTAGTTATTTTAAAATAAAATATATGGAATATGTGATGTATAAGTTATATAATAATAATTTTATATCAGTTCAAATACTTTATATTAATAAGTAAAATATAAATTATCAAAATTTCAATATTATTTAATGTAATATATAAAAGGGGATTTGCCAAATATGACTCAAAACTTGGTTTTAAATGCAAAATATACCCAAACTCAATCAAATTCAAAAATAACTCAAAAACCTATTGAAATTACATTTATCTCCTCCTGACCAAACAAGAAAACATGATTGTAGTTTACCATTATAATCTTGCGAGTGAAAAAATTTCAAGTAAGTCATCTCATAAGAACAATTACCAGAAAGTCTTCTCATTCTATACATCATTTATATACTAAAACACAAGTCACTCAACCAATACTATTATGACAAATGGATTTGTGTCATATTATATTTATAAAATTAAAATAAAATAATATAAAAACTATAATCTACTACCCCACAAACCACTATTCTCTTCGTTCTTTCACAAGCTTTTACTTTCTTATTCCTAAACATGTCTAAAACTGAATAGAAAAATGGCAGTTAAATTCTCGATCAATCGAAAAGAGAATAGGAAAAGTTTACACCGTGTTTCTCATTCAATTTCAATACCATATTCCAAAAATGGGGCCGCAACGAGTCGGTGTTGAATTCCACTCACCAAGTCGACAGATCACAGGAACCTATATTCACCAGTTTGTGGATGGAGGAAGATAGAACGCAAACACACACATGGGATATGGAAACAAATTTTGATAGAAGGTAAAAGTGCTCCTATTGTTATTTTTTTTTTGTCCTATTGTACAAAAGGTTTTACACCAAAATGTAGATTAACAACACCATTGAAATTTTATCGTGGGTATTTTGATACTGATTGTAGGAAGACTTGATCCAAAAAGGATGTAATAAGACATATAAGCTATGGTTTACATGTTATGAATAAAATAACACATGAAAAAAAGAGAGAAAGGAATCAAACTATTCAGTAAGCTAATTAAGATCAATGTAACTTTTTAAAACTAATCTTACTAATTAATTTTATATACGGTGGTTAATAAGTGATAAGTGTTAATTTATGTATATTCATATTCTGATAACAAAATCAAAGTTATTTTGTAAATGTAGTTTAGGTGTACGTGAAAAAAGGATATTAGTGCTGCTGTGGGGGTGAGATTAAAGTCAATTGTTAAGTATACGGCTTTATTCAAATACAAATTATCATTCTCCTGCATAGAAATTGTTTCTCATATTTAGACGTATAGGACATAGCTTCTGAGTCTCTGACATGTTGCTCATAACTAAAAACAAACAACTATGTCATGTGTAGCAATAATTCCATAAAGTAACACTTAGCTTTAATTGATTTAGTACATGTAACTCATAAGTCATTACTATGTATGTAATCGGTTTGTTTCTAATAAAAGTACTTGATTTTACATTACAATTTGCATTAAATACTGGTCAACTTGCGCATCTAGTCTTAAAAATAATTTATAAATTTAAAAAAAATATATTTTGGTTAGTAAAAAATCATAATCATGTAATTATTGACATTTATAAATGATATAATATAGATTTAGTAAAACTGAATAGTTTTCAAGATAGATAAGTGAGTATAAGTTTGTCATGGTGTTCTTTGGTTTAGAGTTTGGTAACTATGTTGTAGTATTGTATGTGTTTTTAGGGTTAGATTGTGAAATCTTAACATTTTTTTTTTAAGTAAAATTTAGCTATATATGTTTAGTTTTGTGTAGATTAAACACTTTATCATTTTAATTTAGGTTTAATAAAGTTTTTTTATGTGATTTAGTTATATTTATTTGACCTCTTTGATTTTGGGGTTTTGGCTTATGAAGACTTTTTTTTGTCATCAAACAAATAGACTCATATAAACTCTGTGAACCAAACTGGTAGTTCTGCTTCCATGTAAATAACAAAGGATGATTGTTTCCTGGTACTGCGTGCTAGACTATCCGCCCGTGTGTTCAGCGTTCGTGGTACATAGATGATCTTTGAGCTGTGAAAACTATCTTTCAACGTCTCGATATCCTCCAAATAAATGGCAAACGCCAGCCATTCTTCTGGTTTTAACACCATCTTCACCAGCTGAGAACAAGCCGTTGCAAAAGTGACATGATATTGATGCAAATTCCTCATGCTTTCCATTGCCCAAATTAGCGCCTCCACCTCCGAATGTAGGGGCGATAGGCTTGCGCTGGCATTTCTTGCTCCCAATAATCCATGAAAACCTTCTAGTGTGCTATACCAACTTTGTCCATAGAACTATTCCTTAACTTTCCATGAACCATCCGTAAAACACTACCGGCCTGGAATGGACGAAATGTCCCCGCTATGGCTCTGGTGCGGAACTCTTTGTGTATGTGCCAATTGAGCCAACTGAGCCTCACTCCATAGAGTCAATTCTGTTTCCGCAAGTTTCAATGTATCTCTTGGATCAATTTCCAAATTACTAAACGTCTTGCTATTTCTGGCTTTCCAAAGGTACCATAATATCCATGTGAAGTGATGATCATCCATTTCCGGAAGTACCCACCAAAATAAGTGATCCATATTTGAGAACAAAGAAGTGGTAGGAAAACATCTGGGTTAGATGGTATCTTTGATAATGCCCAAACCTGGCGTGCTAGGGGACATTCAAAGAAAACATGATTAATCGACTCCTCCTCTGCTCCACACCTAACACAACAAATGTCTCCTTGCATTCCTCTTGCTTTTAGGTTTTTCTACTTATGAAGACTTAATAACGGTGTCCTGCTCAAAATTTAGGTTTCCCCTCAAAATTCTAAAAAAAAACGTAATAGGTTTCCCCCTCAAAATTCTAAAAAAAAATACGTTTTTCGCTTAAAATTAAGTCTTCCAATGTCTTCTAAAGTCTTCTAGGGAAAGTCTTCTAGTGTATTAGTTCTTAAAATAATTTATAAATTTCATAAAAAATATTTTGATAGGGTAAAAGTCATAATAATCTAATTATAGACCTTTGTAAGTGATATAAATTTAGACTTAATGAAATTGAATTGTTTTCAACATAGATGAGTGAATGTAACAAGGCATGATATCCTTTGGTTTAGGGTTTGATAACTATGTTTTAGTATTGTATGTGTTTTTTGGGTTAGATTGTGGAATCTTAACATTTTTTTAAAAAAAGTAGATTTTAGCTATATGTGTTTAGTTATGTGTAGATTAAATATTTTATAAGTTTAATTTAAGTTTAATAAAGTATTTGTATGTGATTTAGTTATATATATTTGATTTTGGGGTTTCGAACGACTTATGAAGACTTATGAAAACTTATAAAGACTTATGAAAATTTAAGAAGACTTATGAAGACTTATAAGCGTCTAGAGAAGACTTCCGTAGACTTACTTGAAAGTCTGCCAAACCGGAAAAAACACTAATTTTTACCTTCAAATTGAAAAAAAAACCCATAAATAATGACATTAAACCTAACCAGATACTAACCGGACATATAAATACCATTTTCACACTTTGTGGTAAAAAATACGAAACCCTAACCGATTATCTATCGAAGGCGACTACATAGGCAATTTCTGGCGAATCTCGTTTCCGTCGGTAAGCTACTTTCGATGAATCTCGTTTATCCTTCCTGGTGTAGAGTATCTTAGTAGGCTAAACTAACCCGAATCTTTTATTTACAGATCTGAAATTATTTTTCGTTTCGGTTTTCCGCCTCCGCCGCCTGTAAGCTCTTCCTCTTTGCTGTTGAGTCTATGTTTTTCGACACTATGCTAACCTCCTCTTCCTCGTCGAGTTTTTCAAATTTGTAACCTCTTGTCTTCAGCGACCATAACTTCACTGCTTTGGACTGTAAACTTCGTCGGTACCTAGTGTAAGTTCATCCATTTGTTCGATTTGTAATCGTTTTATCTATTAGGATTAACACAATTTTTAGATATGTATCGGATGATTAAGGCACTACTGGAAGACTTAAGAATACTTTGGAAGACCTACTGGAAGACCGAAGACCTCGGACGACCTACTAAAAGTCTTCTAGTAACTCTTCCAGAGTCAAAACTTTGGAAGACTTAGTGGAATACTTTAGGTATGTCTTCCGAGTTGTTCCGAGGTCTTCGAAGGTCTTCCAGTAGGTCTTCGAAAGTATTCTTAAGTCTTCCGAGGTCTTCCAGTAGGTATTCCAAGGTCTTCTGAAGTCTTCCAGTACATGACATTAGTTTATTTCTCCTTTTTCGTTTGGTTTGTGTTTGAGATGGTCGTTTTAAATTATTGTATAGAATGGGAAAGGATTTACCAGAACTCCCAAGAGAGTATTTACATTAGGGGAGGAGCCACATCCACTTAAAAGAATAAACTATAATACTGATGAAAAGAAGTTGGTTGTGGCTGTAAAAGAAGCTCTTCATGATGATGAGTGGGAGGAGCTGCAGGAGTCAAGGTTGGGCGTGTTCATCAAGTTCATGGGGCTATATATTGAGTGGGCATCAAGGCTGGTTCATTTTATGATGTGTTACCAGCTTGGCATCAAGAAGAAGTATGAGCTTTGGTGTCTCGTTGGTCTGGAATCTGTGAGGATTTCACTAATAGAGTTTAAATACCTAATTGGTCTGAACTGCGATTACATTGAGTACC